TGCTCTGCTTGTTCTCTGCCTCAGCTCCCCCTGTCCCTCTGTGCCCTCTGTGTGTGTGTGAGCTCTGAATTCTCTCCTTCACCTCTCTTTTCTCCCTGTGACTGCTTCTCCTGCGTCACTGTCCCCATCTCTGTGCCTCTTTGCTCTCCATTCCCAGCCTGTGCCTCTCCTGTGTGCCTCTGTCCTCACTCTGTCCTCTCTGTGCTTGTTTGCCACCCCTCTCCTGTCCCTGCTGTCACTGGGAGCAGTCCCCCTGCCTTTGGTCTGTTTGCTCTTTGTGCCTCTTTGCCTTCTCTCTCCCCACATTTGCTCTCTGCTTCTGTGCCCTCTGCACCTCCCTCTTTGCTCTGCAGTTCTCCCATCTCCAGTCTCTCTTTGCCTTCTCCTGCCCTGGGCCGTGTCTCTCACCCTTATTAATCAATTAAAGATTAATTAATGAGCTGCTGCAGGCTGGCAGCAGTGTGGGTGTGCCGTAGGAGCTGACTGGTGCCTGAGGGCCAGTCTTTGCACGCTGTGTGGGTGCTGTGGAGGGACACCTCGAGGATGAAAGGACATGTCAAGGATGGAGAGGATGGGGGGACACCTCAAGAATGGAGGGACACCCCGACAACACTGACCACAGCACTGACCACAGAACTGATCACAGCACTGACCACAGCTTCATGGGCCTTTCACCAGTTTGCATTGGAAGAGGAAGAGACCTAAAAGCTCATCTCATTCCACCCCTCCATGGGCAGGGACACCTTCCACTGTCCCAGGCTGCTCCAATCCCCCCAGGGGCAGCCCCAGCTGCTCTGGGCACCCTGTGCCAGGGCCTGCCCACCCTCACAGTGGGCATTCCTTCCCCATTCACATTGCTTCCCCAAATCCCATCTAACTCTGCCAGCTTTATCCCATTTGCTACTTGAAATCCAGACTAATGTGTAAATGCTGTCAGGCCAATAAATTTGGTTTGAAGTTTCAAAGAGTGTTGGTGTCTTTTAAATCCATCCAAAACCTGCAGCTACAAAGGGTGAAGGTGTGGGGGGACACAGGGACACAACTTGAGCCAGAGCTGGAGAGCTCTGAGCTGCTCCAAATGCACAGGAACTTCATCATCCTGAAATCAAAGGGGGACCCCAAACAAGCCCCAGGAAGATGCAAAGTAACCCCAAAGTGGGTGGAGAGAGAGAGTCTGACCTCAAGAAACTCCAGTGACATATAATAACCTCAAAATTTAATTTTTTTACCTCAAGTAACACCAAAGTGACCTAAAATAACTCCAAAATTACCTCAACTAACCCAATTTTTTTTCTGAACAGAGCAAGTTTGAACTCTAATAACCCCCATGACCTAAGGTAACCCCAAATCTCAAGGTTTGACCTCTAGTAACACCACAATGACCTACAATAACCCCAAAATGACCTAAAGTGACCTGAAAAATGACTCAAAGTAACCCCAAAATTTTAAGGTGAGAGTGAGTTTGACCTCAAGTAACCCAATGACCTAGAGTAACCCCAAATCGCAAGATTTGACCTGCAGTAACCCCACAATGAACTGAAGTAACCCCAAAGTGACCTCAAGTGACCCGAAAAATGACCCAAAGTAACCCCAAAATTTTCTGGCGAGAGTGAGTTTGACCTTTGATAACCCAAATGACCTAAAGTAACCCCAATTCTTAAATTTTGACCTCTAGTAACCCCAAAGTGACCTACAATAACCTCAAGTGACTCAAAAAATGACCTAAAGTAACCCCAAAATCTTCTGGCGAGAGGGAGTTTGACCTTTGATAACCCCAATGACCTAGCGTAACCCCAAATCTCAAGATTTGACCTGCAGTAACCTCACAATGAACTGAAGTAACCCCAAAATGACCTCAAATGACCCAAAAAATGACCCAAAGTAACCCCAAAATTTTCTGGAGAGAGCGAGTTTGACCTCAAGTAACCCAATGACCTCTAATAACCCCAAAGACCAATAATAACCCCAAATTTTTATCAGTTTGGGGTTCTTAAGGTCACCCTCACTTGCTATGGAGCACTTTGGGAGTGCTTTGCATCATTTTGGGGTTACTCGACGGCAACAATTAAAATTCGGGGTTATTAGAGGTCATTGGGTTATTTGAGGTCAAATTCGCTCACTCCAGAAAATTTTGGGGTTACTTTGGGTCATTTTTTGGGTCATCTGAGGTCATTTTGGGGTTACTTCAGTTCATTGTGAGGTTACTACAGGTCAAACCTTGAGATTTGGGGTTACTCTAGGTCATTGGGTTACTTGAGGTCAAACTCACTCTCTCCAGAAAATTTTGGGGTTACTTTGTGTCATTTTTCAGGTCATTTGAGGTCACTTTGGGGTTACTTGAGGTCACTTTGGGGTTACTAGAGGTCAAAACTTAAGATTTGGGGTTACTATAGGTCATGGGGGTTATTAGAGTTCAGATTTTCTCTCTCCAGAGCACTTTGGGGTTACTTTGACCATTGGGGATCAGCTTCTCCCTCTCTGGGGTCCAGCTTTGATGATTTTATCTCACCCCATGTGGTTTTCTTCCTCCTGTGCCAATTTTAGTTGCTTTTACCACTTCCTTCCCACTCTGGTTTGTTCTCTGATCCCTCCTCCATAGGATCCCTGTCATCATTTGAACTGGTGGGGCTTTTTTTAGGATTTCCCATTCCTACAGCTTCGGGATTGAAGGATTTGATTTCATCTCTCCACGGCCCTTCCAGTCAGTCACTCTGAGCCAACCAGCTTTCCACAATAAATTCAGGATTTATGTCATTCTCCACCTCAGACTTTAATCCTATATTTGTGAACATCAGCAGCATCACCCCATAAAAAACCCCATTTCTTCTGGTGGAAGCCACACTTGTGTCAAAGCCAATAAAAACATCCCTATGTTCTAATAAGAAGAGCAAACAAGACTGATTTAAAATATTTTTTATTGTGAAATAATAATTACATGCAACTTTCTCCCCTGCTGAAGCTGATTTTTAACTTAGACCAAGTATTTCCCCCAGCTGAGCCCCAAACCATTTTATTCTAATGGTTAAAGATGATTCTAGAAGGAATAAAAGCTCTGGACAGGATTTCCTCATTGAGCAATTATGGATTTTTTTCCTCCACCATCCTTCCATATTAATATCCTGCATCTGTCCCAGATGGATAAAAAAGTACCTCAAACATATGGAATATTCTGGATCCCCAAACACAGGACAGACCTGGACCTGTTGGAGAGATGATCACAGAAAAAAAATCCTAAAATACCCCCCTGAGTCCCACCCAACCCACCCAATAAATAAAATATATTTAATTTATAAATATATAAAACCAATTTTGGTTTATTTGTTTGTTCTTGGGGATTTTAAAGCACTGCAGGGAGTTTAAAACAGCACAAGGTTTAAAGCCAAGTCAATAGTTTGTACTGTCCCTGAGATAAAGTGGCTACAGGGACTTGGTGATGATTTTTCTTTGTTAAAATTCCATTTGTAAGCATGGTTAGTACAGAGGTAACTACAGTTTTACCAGTAAAAATGACTTTAGGTCAAGATATAACTTTTTTATTCAGCTGCCTTGCCAAAAAGCCCCACTGGAAATTGTTTTCCCCCTTGTCTTTCTGTATTTGTGACACCAGCAGCTTGTAAATAACAAATGGGACTCAAGTTTCCTTATAAATCAGTGGTTCTGCCAAAAAAATCCACTTTTAATGCCTATAACTTCAACAAAATATAATCTTCTGGACTGACTTTCATATTCTGAAGTTTCTTTTAAATTTTACTGGGAAAACAATCAAAAGAATTGACTGTATCTTAATAAAAATAAGCTTGGGGGGTAGAATTTTTGCTCATATTGGGAAAAATTCTGTGATTTTGGTGGCTGAGGCAATGCCAGAAATACAGTTTGGTGAATCCCTCCCTTTAGGCAGATTTGCTAAAGTAGAACTTCACAAGAAAACACAGCAACAGACCTTTTGAGCTGAAAGCATTCCCAGCGCTGTGCATGCAGGAAATCCCCATGGATGCAGGAATTTGGGATGAGAGACGAGCAGGAACGATGATTTGAGCAAAGCCCTCGCTGTGTTTCTCTGCTGGAGTCCTCATCCCAGGCCCTGGAGAGGTGTGACCTGAAAAGAGGAAAAGAGATGGATTACCTGAGGAAAACCTAGGGAAAAACTCAGGGAAATTGCAGTGGCAGAGAGGAGGTGGGTCTGGAGAGCGAGTAAGAGCTGCTGCCGAGGAAACTGCACGGGGAATAGAATAAAAACACAGTAATTAAAAGGCTAATGAAGTGTTTGCGAGGGTGGGGAAGCACAGGGTGCCCAGAGGAGCTGTGGCTGCCCCTGGATCCCTGGCAGTGCCCAAGGCCAGGCTGGACGGGGATTGAAACACCGAAGGTGTCCCTGCCCTGTACAGGGTGAAACCGGATGGTCTTTAAGGTCCCTCCCAACCCAAAGCGCACCAGGGATGTCCCCTGGCCACGGGGACCGAGGGGACAGCAGGGAAGGGGAGCGGAGAGGGCAGAACTCCCCCTCAGAGGCACCAGAGAGACACCGGCAACAATGGCGGAGTCCCGCAAGCCCCGCCCAGACCACGCCCATTCCCGGGCACGCCCAATCACGGAACGCGCTTATGGCCACGCCCCGTCCGTGGCTCCGCCCCAGGCCATGACCCCGCCCGTTTTTACGCACTGACGTCACCGCTCGAGGTGGCGCGAGCTCCTCCGCCCGTGACGTCACGTGGCGCTACCGCGAAGCCCCGCCCCCGGCCCGCCCCCGCCCCGCTCCGCTCCGGGACCCCGGGCAGGTAACGGGGCACGGGACTGGGGGTGCGGGATGCGGGGTACCGGGCTGCGGGGTACCGGAGGGGGGGACACCGCCGGCAGGGCCCCCGCTGGCCGCTGCGCTCCCCGCCAGCCTCACCCTCCCCGTTTCCAGCACCCCGCGCTTGCGTCCCCGCCGCTGGCCGTGCCACCTGCGGCTCCCGGACACGGGGACCCCCCCTTTGCCACCCTCCCTGGCCGGGCACCCCCGAGGAGCGCTGCGGGAATCGCCCCGCAGGGCACGGAGCGGAGCCCGGAGCCCCATACACCCCCAAGCGGGGTTTTGCACCCCAGCCCCACCGCCCGCTGTCACCCGTCCCGCTGTCCCCTGTCACAAGTGCCCCCTCCCATAGCTACAGAGCACAGAATTAGGCGAGTTCCCCACTTCTGCGCCTTCCATGCTTTACACCACAACCTGAAAGTCCCAGATTTGCTTCCCAGCCCCAGCTAAGGTGATCCAGAGAGATGGACAGCATCCCAACCCTGCCACCCCCCTGCCCACAGCCTGGCGGGCAGCCGGTCCCCGTGCCCCTATGCTGCTGGGGCGGGACAGCTTTGAGCTTTTTCCTGCAGGAGCCACCATGGATCTGGTCCTGGAAGCCGCGGACCGGCACCTCCTGACGCCCTACGTGTACCCGGCGGGGTGGCCCGAGGGCGAGCCCTGCCGCCAGCTCCTCAGCCTTTTTGTCATCACCAACCTGGGAGCCCTCGCCCTCTACCTGCTCTTCGGCACCCTCAGCTACTACTTCATCTTCGACCACGAGCTCAAGAAACATCCCCAGTTCCTGGAGGTGGGTGCACCTTGCTGACTCCTCGCCAGCCCTGCATGGCACTGTCCCCCTCGCCATCCTCCTGTCCATTCCAAATGTCACCTGCCAGTGTTGTGGCACGGGCTGTCCCTGCTGTCATACCCATCCCTCTCAGCCTGCCCTTGATCATCCCTGACCAGAAGCGGGTTCCAGAACCCACTAATCCCAACACCCAGCGTGATCCCTGCCCTGCCCCAAGCACAGCTGTCCCCACACGAGCCGCACCCTGCGTCCCACACCGTGGTGCAGATGCCACAACAAAGGGGTGGCCAAGACGCCAGCCCTCCCAGCCTTAGGAGGGGCACTGGGGCTCTCAGATGTCCCCTGTACCCTTGACCCCTCTTGCCACACCCCACAGAACCAGGTGAGCCGGGAGATCGCCTATGCCCTGCGCTCCCTGCCCTGGATCAGCGTCCCCACCGTCGCCCTGTTCTTCGCCGAGGTGCGGGGCTACAGCAAACTCTACGACAACATCGAGGACTCCCCGTATGGTGAGTGACCTCCCCGCACTCCCTGCCACAGCAGTGCCCTCTCCCCACCTGGGTCACCTCCCTCAGCCCCCCTTCTCTCGATGACAACACCAGGGAATGTTCCTGGGTACCTCCTGTCCCAGGCTGTCAGCCAGAAACCCAAGTTCTCTTTAGGGGAGGTACCCACATGTCCTCACTCAGGGCCGTGTCCCCCTGCTTGACACACACCACCCTCCACAAACGAGATCCTTCCCTTCCCTGGGCACGGCTCCCAGTGAAGCAGCACCCGAGTCGCTTTCCCTGAGTCACAGGGCACAGCCTGACGCTCTCACCTCAATGGGGCAGACCTTGACATGACTCAGGTGTGCCTCCCACCACAAGGACCATTGTGGAGACCCTCACAGCCTCCTGGTGCCCACATGTGCTACCTCTAACAACCCTGTCCCCTCCCAGGCTGGTCTGGTGTCTTCCTCAGCATGCTGTCCTTCCTCTTCTTCACTGACATGGGCATCTACTGGATACACCGTGGTCTCCACCACAAGCTCTTCTATAAGGTATGGGACAGGACAGGGGGCTCTGGACAGGAGTCCTTGTCCTGCTCTGGTGACATTTCCAAGCTGCTCCTCCCAGGGAATAATGCATGCTCGGGTGGGAACGGCTGGACAAGGCGTCACCATGTGATGGGAGCTGAGAGCCCTTTAGGGCACAGGTCCCCCTCCCAGTTTGGGTGGTGATGGCCCAAACAGCATCCCTTGGGGCCATGAATCTGCCTGGGGGACCCTCTGAAAGGGCCCAGCCTGACTGACAGCCCTCTGTCCCCACAGCGCTTCCACAAGCCCCACCACCTGTGGAAGATCGCCACGCCCTTCGCCAGCCACGCCTTCCACCCCGTGGATGGCTTCATGCAGAGCCTGCCCTACCACGTGTACCCCTTCCTGTTCCCCCTGCACAAAGTCACCTACCTGGGCCTCTACATCTTCGTCAACGTCTGGACCATCTCCATCCACGACGGCGACTACCGCGTGCCGCGGCTGCTGCGCCACGTCATCAACGGCTCTGCCCACCACACCGACCACCACCTGTACTTCGACTACAACTATGGGCAGTATTTCACCCTCTGGGACAAGATTGGTGGTTCCTACAAGAGCCCCACGTCCTTTGAGGGCAAAGGTCCCCACGATTACTTGCGCAAGCTCCGAGAGAAAGACGCAGGAGCGTCCAATGGCAGCGTGGCCTCCAAGAAAGACCCGGCAGCGTCCAACGGCAGCGTGGCCTCCAAGACTGAGTAGGCTTCCTCCAAGTGTGTCCCTTCTCTGGCTGCACCTTGTTCCATTCCTCACCAGCCACCCAAGACTGTTTTCCACAGACAAAGAGCCCCTGTCCCTGATGACGTGACCAGCGTGGGGTGATTTTTGGTGAGCGTCGGACCTGCCCCGATCCCAAAACTGCGGTGTCCGGCCTTGCTCCACACTACGGATCTGCCTGGTTTTCCTACTGCTTCCCCTCCCAGCTCCCTTTGGATCTCTGCTAAGGTCCCTGCGCTGCTTTAGTGCTGTGCTGATGCTTTACAAGAAGAATAACACGGCACAAATAGAACAATAACGTGGCACAAATTAACATGACTCGTGGCAGGGTCTTTGTTCCACTGCTGCCCCCCTTTGTCAACAATTCATTGTTCCCATCACGGTGTCCATCGGGATGAGCTGTATTTTGGAAAAAAACCCTACCTTTTGGAGGTGGTGTGGCTTCTTCTGATGGCTCCCCTGGTGGGACTTCTTGCACTCAGCTTCCTTTTGCCCGGGGATGTCCCATGGAAACATCATGCCTGTAGGACAGAGGTGTGCTTTGAGTCTTGTGGGTCTCTCGAGCTCCCAAGAACACTGAGGGGGAAGGGAGGAGGCACCCAGATGTGAGGGGAAGGGGCTTCTCACTCAAGGGTTCGTGGTCAGCTTCCCCCCTTAAGGGCTTGTGTTTTTCCTGCTGAAATCTGGTCACCCCACCTTTGGGGTTGACCCATGTTCAAAAATAAATAAATCTCAATTGCCAACTTGGTTGATGTTTGGTCCCTTCTCCCTGGCTCATGCAAAGTCTCCTGGGGCAGCCCGTTTCTGCCCTACAGCACCCATGAGGGGCTTGTCACAGACCTGTGCTGTGCTGGCAGCAAATTTGGGCCAAAACAGCAGAAGATGGGCAAAATAGTCCGAGTGGCCAGAGCCACCCCAATTGTCCTGAACCTCCTTAGGTGTCCCTGCACAGTGACAGAGCTCTCCCATTCCTTGCTCCCCCAGTTTCACCAGTCCTGCTGCCCTCAGTGGGGATGGGGGCCCTTCTTTGGGTCCCCTGCTGTGGTGACAGCCCCTCCCAGGCAGGGATGGCCTGGCTGTGGCACCTGCTGACACAAGGGACACCTGTCCCACGTCCTGCCAGCACGGTCACACTCTGCTTTCACCTTTTCACCTGCCCACCCCAAGCTGCTCTCACCACGTGCACAGGACCCCTGAGCTCTGTTTGCTGATTAACCTGGGGCCTGGAGCACTGCCTAGGGTCGAGGTCCAGCCCAGATAAACACGGTGACAACATCACAGGCCTTGGCTAGCCTGATTCCCAATCCATGTGAAACCCTTGGGAAAAGCCCCAGGCTTCTCATCACCCCATCCTTCCACCTTAGCTGAGCCCAATTCCTGGGCACCCCATCCTGGCAGCTTCGGGACAGACTGACCCTCAGCATCCGGGTCCTTGCAGGGCAGTAAAGTCCTAGGATGAGATTACATCACTCCTGGTGCCAATGCACCCTCCCAAGGCCCTTCTGCCGGACACCTGGCATTCCCACCGGGATGGATCTGCAGCCCCCCAGCTCCCGGGCACGGGGACATCGTGTCCTGCGTGCCGAGGCTGCCGCAGGGCACAGGGCACTGTGGCACCCAGAGCCGCAGCTCTGGCTCTGGTCCCCTGGTGCTGCTGTTGCCACAAGATGGGGATGTTGCTCACGACAGCCGTGGCTGGAGCTGCACCTGCGTGGATGCCCTTCCTCCTCCTCCTCCTCCTCCTCTTCCTCCTCCTCGTTCCCCCAGCGTGGGGCAGGAGCAGCGCTGCCTCTCTTAGAGGACACACACGGGGTGTCCCTGCTCCAGTTCCATGACCCATTCCTCGGGCTTTTCCTGACATCGGAGCCTTTTCTGCTGATTTGTCTGCAATAGCTTCCCTGTCCCACCCCACACAGAGCATTTCCTCCCCTCCTTTCACCCCGCACACGATGCTCACACAGCAGGGCAGTGCACACACTGAACATCCTCCTCAGAGACCCCAGCGCAGACAGCGACCCGTGGTGTGTGAATGCAACAATCGGGTGCCTCTGGCACAGCCCTGAGCCGTGCAGAAAAACCTGCAAGCTTCATCATCCTCTGAGGAAGGCTCTGAGACCAATGCCATGGGTATTTGCTCTTTGGCTCCTGGTGTCCCTGTTTTGCTCCCTGATTCAACTCCAGCAACAAGCAATGGCTCCTTTAAGCAGCTTTACTCTCTCAGTGAGGCTTTGTGGGGAATGGCTGTTCCAGCCCCTCAGTCCCCCAAACCCTCTGGGACCTCTAAAGCTGAGGCAGGGAAAGGTCTCAAGAAAGAGGGGAAGGAAAACCAGGGGGCCAGGGGCTCCTCACCTTGGAGTTCACAGCTTTTGCTGCTGATGAAATCCAGATGGACCTTAAAATAAACTCTGCACTGCTCCCCTCTCCCCTTTACGTCTCTTTTCAAGAAACAAAAAAATACCTTGGCAAGGGAAATGTGTGTTTCCCTGCACAAAGAAAGACCCATTCATGTGTGAGCATTTCCCAGGGCTGGGTTCACCCAAGAGCTCCTGGCTAAAGCTCTCTGCCTGTGCCCACCACAGGGAGCTCATGGGGGGACAGGGACTCTTCACACCCTGCAAGAAGTGTGAAACAAGGGCTGGAAGAGAGACAGCAAACCCCCCCAAACACATTTTCCTCCATTTAGCACCTCAGCAAAGGCAGTTCCTCATTTCCTCCTATTTCTTATTCTATTCCTCATCTCCAGGTCCTTTTTGGAGTCCTTCTCATCCGGCCCAGAGAGCAACTGGCTGCAGGGATTCCTGCACAACAAAACTCCCTCACTGGCTCTGCCCATACCCACGGTGACCTCCTGTCCTGCAGGGGGACATTACTCTGAGTCAGGACCTTTTTATTAGGAGGGCTTATAATTCTATGGACCTGATAATTTAAATACACTAACTGGGTTTCTAGGTGAAAGCACCTCGGGGAAAGCTCTGGACACCATTCCTGCCATTAAAGCAAGTGGAATTAAGGGGGAGCAAGACTGCCTCGGGGCTGTCCATGGGATTTATAGACTCCCATTCCGCCACTGCTGGGCCACATCTATTTTCTTTGATGGAAATGCTGGAATGGTGCATATGAGGCAGAGGGGATGAAATCGGTGTGTTCTCAGTACCTGGGAGACACAAGAGGCCTGAGCCATTTCTTAGCAGAAAGATCATGCCTAAAGAAACACCTCTGGCTTAGAGAGACAAGCTGGGGCTGAGCAACAGGCACAGCTCAACTTTCCGGTCATCTCCCAGTGTCATTTGAATCTCCTGCCTCAAATCCTTGCTCTCCCTTCCTGCCCTGCTCTGTAACACCCGGGACAAACATGAGCCCCAGGCAGGGACAGGAGAAATTGCTTTCTGAAAGGGATGCACAGTGACCAGGGGAGCAGCACCAGGGGAATCCCCACGCCTGGGAGCCCAGCACTTTGAGCTGCCCCAATAAATCAGAGTTGTGGCCACTGGCATCGGTCCTGTGCTGTCCCTGCGTACCCAACCAAGCATCATCCCCTGTTATGGGCATGTTTCCTTTGCCAAGTGTTCTAGGGGAAGCACACAGGCACTGGCACAGCTCAAACCCACCTGCCATGGGTGGGAGAGGTGGCAGAAGGCTCTGGAGAGACCCTGAGGGTCTCGGGTTTCCCACTCCCACCTTGTCTTGCTCACCTTCCCAACTCTGCCCAGGTAAAAATGTGGCAGAAATTGAGATAAAGACCTCTGAGGGATGCCAGAAACATACCAGGGGGAAGTCTGTCACAAAAACCTGTGAAATTATTTGCACCTTTTCCTCTTGACATCCATCCACACCTTCACCTTCCCATCCAGAAGCAGACTCAGCTCTTCATCACTCAGCAGCAAGGACCTGAGCCTAGGTTACCATGATTTTATGGTTCTCACCACAGTGATTCTATCAAACCTCAGCCTGGACAACTCTGCCACTTCCCACCAACCCTGGCGTGTTTTAGGCACACATCCCAGGCTGAGGGACCCACCTGCAAGATGTTAGTGGGAGGAAAAATGCAGCTTGGTGGTTTTGGGGAATACCTCACTCATTCCCCAGAGAGAAGCAGCTGCAATGCTTTTATTTGAGTTTGTTTTACAGAATGCCAGAATGGTTTGTGTTGGAAAGGACCTTGAAGTCCCTCTAAGTCCCACCCCTGCCATGGGCAGGGACACCTTCCGCTATCCCAGTTTGCTCCAAGCCCCGTCCAGCCTGGCCTTGGACACTTCCAGGGATCCAGGGGCAGCCACAGCTTCTCTGGGCACCCTGTGCCAGGGCCTGCCCATCCTCACCGGGAGGAATTTATTCCTAACATCCAATCTGACCCTTCTCTTTGCCTGTTTGAAGCCTTTCCCTTTTGCCCTGTCTCTCCACACCCTCCTAATCAGCTTCATTTATTTCAACAGTTTCCTTCCATCCACCCTCACTCCCTTCAACTCGATTTATGGCTGCTTCATTTCTCTTTACTCCATTTCACAGAAATTAACTTGAACTTAATATTTCACTCCATCTCGATGGGCACCCGAGTATCCTCCAGAGAGGGAGAAAAAGAAGAAAAGGAAAAAGAGCAGGGGAAAAGAGAGGGAGAGGAGAGGGGAGGGTGCCCGAGCTTTTGCCCGTTTCACAGAAATTAACCCCAGAACTTATTTCACTCCATCTCGTCGGGGACCCGAGCATCCTCCGCAGATGAAGAAAACGGCGGAGAGCGAGGAAGAGAGGAAGAGGAAGGGAAAAGAGCGAGAAGGAGACGAGAAGAGGGGAGGGGGCCCGAGCATCCGTGCCCGCGGGGAGCGGCGGGGGGGCTCGCAGCGGCAGCGCTGCCCATGCACATTCTCTCCGGGCGGCGGCGCGGCTGCCGCTCCTCCCGGCCCCGCTGCGCTCCTCCCGGCCCCGCTGCGCTCCTCCCGGCCCCGCTCCGCTCCGCCCGGCCCCGGCGGCACGAACATGGCGACACGGAGCTCTGGCGGGGCCGGCCGTGCCGCCCCGCTCCCCCGCCGGCTGCTGCCGCTGCTGCTGCTGCTGCTGCCGGCGGCCGCGGGCTCCCGCTCGCCGCTGCTGCTGCTCCGAGCCCCGCCGGCCCCCGCCGCCCCCGCCGAGCCCCCGCGGGGCCGCCGAGCCGCGCCGCGCCCGCCCGAGCCCATCCAGGTGTACGGACAGGTGAGCCCGCGGCGCGGGTGGGGAAGGGGGGGACACTCGAGGCTCACCCCCCCCTACCGCCTCATCACCCCCCGGAGAACGCCGCGTTCCATCCATCCATCGTTCCATCCATCCATCCATCCATCCATACTGCTCCCCCCTCCCCATCCTTCCCCGGGGGTCGCGGCGCGTCCCGCCCGGGGCAGGGTGGCTCGGTGCGTGGGCTCTGTTGGGAGCAGCGGTCTTTGGGCGCCGCTGCCGCCTGCCCTCGGCTCTCCCCGCAGCCCCCGGAGCCGGCTCGCCGCGGTCACGTTCGCGGTGGCTCTCCCGGGCTCGCTCCCGGCGAGATGCGCTCCCAGAGGGAGCAGCCAAGGGCACGAGGCAGGGATGGGGGCCGGGCATCCCCGCCGCGGGGAGCCGGGAAGGGACGCGGCGATTCCCTGCGGACAGCCGAGCCTCCAGGGATGCTCGCGGTGAGCATCGCCGCGCTCGGGAGCCGGGCAGGGGGAGGTGAGGCCGGGGAAGGAAGGACATGGCCATCTGTGAGGCACCGCGTCCTTCCCAGTGAGAAGGGCTCCTTGCTC